ATTTTCTGCAGCAGTCGTGGTAGCCCCAACATGGTCTATACACTGTGGATACTGGAATGAACTGGCGGATTACTGTTCCCACAGGCCTGACTCACCCAGCCTGAGCACCAAACAAGACCCGGGTGAGATATAACCGGGTTACTAATGTCCACTGTTATTAGCTGTGCTTCATCCCCGCTCCACAGGCCAAGCACATCCACAAGCATCTTCCCTTTTGGCTCTTGAAACACCGTCAGTCCTCCAGACTCCAAACCATCACCACTGAGCACCCACCTGGAGAACACCCCCACCCACTGCCAGGCCCCGGGGCTGAAGGTGAGCTGGAAGCTGCCCAGGGGTGTCTCATCTCACCCACTCCCCTGCGTGCCAGCGGCTCCGAGGGGAAGCCCAGACCGAGTCATCTCCGTGTCTGGCAGGAAACACATGCAAATGCACGAGCTTGAGAGCCCCACTCAGGAAACCCCCGTCACATCAGGCTCGGGGGGCCCTCAGCCAGCCCTCTGCCCCCTCAATTGTGCCCTGGTGCTGGCCAGGCTCAGCACACACAGCCTGGCACTGCAAGAGAGATGAACAGCCACACGCAGCAACGGGAAAACCCTGGACAGGAAAACTCCCACAAGGAGGAAAAAAAACCCAAACCCACACCTGGAGAACAGGCTGCCCACACCATGCAAGGACAAAGAACAAAACTTCTTTTTCCCCTGGTTTTGGCCACGAGTCTTACAATAACAGAGCCAACTTGCTCCACGTAGGACCTTGGCGCTGCTTTCCAGACAAGCACAGGTTTGTACAACTGCCCTTCCAAAATGGGAAATAGCTCCCAAAACCAGAAATCCATTAACCACCCCAGCAGCAGAGCAATTCAGCTGCTTCCCCTCAGGTTCATCTCCTGGAGATTGTGCTCAGAGCCACATGGCCACAGCCTGAGCCAGGTCCCCAGCAGGGCCAAGCTGAAGTCCCCACAGCAACACCAATTAAATCAGTCAAATATCAGAAGACTCTTCTTCTCCCCCCAAACTCTCAGATTTCTCACATCAGGGCTGCTTTCCCTCCTTTAATACCTTGCTCCCACTTAACCTTTTATGCCCCTGATAGGTGCTAATGGGATCCACCTTGTCCATGCCTCCCAGCTGGGTTGCCAGCTCCCCATCATCTGTGGCCTCCGGCTTTGCACTGTAGTAAACAGAGTGTAGTGGGAACCACATGCAGCATAAACCTCAGAGCTAATTTATTCTTTCAGCATGAGTGGATTTGAGGCTGTGCTTAAGCTGTTTTCCCAGCCTCCCTACAGCCTTGGATGGGAGCAGATTTGGGGACGCCAAGGCCCTGGGTGGAGTCTCATTGGCTGCACTGTGAGTAGGTGTCTGTCACAGACATTGCTGCTGGACAAGCAAAAGGATCAGAAACAGGTTTAGATGGGGTTTGAGGTGTAGTGATTTCTCACCACACTAGACAGTCACACACCACAAGCTTCTGTCCTTCCCCATTGCACTGAGACTCATCTGCAGAGCTGGGGAGTGGGATCTATGGGGCTGCACTTAAACACCACTTCCAAATGACTCTCAGTGCCTTTTCTGCTACCCTGGAGCCAGGCAGAGCTAAAAACCTAGGTGGTAACCAGGCAAACAAGATCTGCCCGTGTGTGAACTGGATGTAATGTTCTTTTTTCCACGTAATGGCATCACACATCCTTGTGGCCCTGCGAGTCTGCTCCTGGGAGTGACTAATACAGGATAGTCCCTAAGCCTGAGTACACCCAGCGCCTCTCCAAGTGCTGATTACAAAAGAAAGGCAAAAGCTTTGACACAAGGGGATTACCCAAGTCTAATCTGGAGCTTTGTGTCTGTTTGTCATGTGACAACTGGGTATATACCGTAACCCCTGAGTATTGCATCTTGCTGGGAATATTACTTGTGGCTCATGTGCTGTGTCCCTGTGTGGGTTGGCCATGGACACCCTTTGGATGTGTGGACCCATCTATGGGTGCTGGATGGAGGCCCATTTGTAGGGTTAAGTGCTGCCATGTGTTCTCTTTGTAACTTTTGGGGTGTCAGTGTCCACACTCTGGCATTTTGGGGGCCCGAATGTCTTGTCTGTGTGTCCCCATCCCTGCTCTGCACAGCACACAATGGCCATTGTTTGCCTTCGGGGCGGGTGAGCAGCCTCTGGCTTGAGAGGAACAAAGCCCGGAGCCAGTTCCTGAAAACACAAAACATGCCTTTTTATCACTTCATGACAAATTGGTTTGTCAGCAGCAGGAAGTGATGTTACTGTTGTTCTCACCAAGGGGAAACTCCTCGTGGTTTCCATGGGGATGTATGCAACTGTAGAGCTACAGGTTTATATAAACTGAAAGCCCCATGCTTGCCTGCTGTGTGCCAGGATTCTGTGGATTGGATACGAGTGGATGGGTCTCAGCTGAGTCCTGCTAGCACAGTGGGACAGCCAGCTCATGTTGGAGCCAGGGAAATGGGAGTTCAAAGCCCTAAACCAGGGTGAGCTGTGTGCCTTGATATTCCAAACAAAGCAGCAAAGCTGGGAGAATAAATAAGGGGCAAGAAGGAAAAATGCCTCCCTAACACATCCACAGCAGGAAAAGTTCAGCCCAGCTGTGTCATCAAGGCATCCTCCAGCTCTGCCACTGCCCATCTCAACCCCTCATGCCTTGTTGCCCAGTTCATGCCTCCTCCTCTGCCCCATACCTTGCCAGCCATCCCATCCCACTCCTTCCCTCCTAATCCCAGCAACTCCCCAGCTGAGCCCATCCATTTTCCCCAAAACTGTCGCCCCAGGATCACATTTGGTATTCCCACTCTGATATCTCTTCCCCCCTTCTTCCCCCTTATCCTCCCCTTGTTTGCACAGAGCTATGTGCGATCTGGGTGCAATCCCAGAGTTTGCAGGAGTCTGAGACTGGGCACTGCGAGACTCCAATTATGCAGAACGGCAGAAGGATCACAATAAAGACTTGGAAAAGGACACTGGATGTGCACAGAGCTGGAAGTGCACATCGGTGCCTTGCTGGGACTGCAGCCCTGCTGTCCTGGCTGGCTGATCCACAGAGGGCTTTGTGCTGAAGCAGCTCTCTTTTGCTCCCCTCTGTCAGGTGCCTGCTTAGGTTATAAAAGCTGATCGGCTGCCAGGTAATGAGTTTTATTGTTCCAAGAAACACATAAACAAGCTCCTGCGGCTGACGGGGAGCGGATTTCTGTTTGAATTGCGATTAACAGGCAGGATTTTTTTTATCAGTTGCATGGCCAGGGCTGCCAAGGTTGTATTTTTCCACTGAACAAGCTCTGCTTTGCTTTGAAGGTGAAAGTTTGTTCCACCCTTTACTGCAGGTGTAAAAAGGCTCACGTAGTCAGTCTTGCATATTTAACCAGGAGAGCAGTGGTAGGTGCAATGTGCCAAGGGAATTTCCACGGATGAAGGGGGTTTGCAGGATTTGCAGCATGGCACAGGTTTTGGGGAGGATATTCACTTTGTGGTTCAGGTACACTTTAGGGAAAAAAAAGGGTTTCTAACTCCATTCTCAGTGCCCAGGGATCTCTCCTCCTTTTAGCCGCTCCATTTTTTTTTATCCCTTGGTGTCAGGTTGAAACTTGGTGACGGCTGACGTGAAGTGCTGACGACAGAGCTGCATCCGAGGGGCAGCTCACGTGGAAGAACTTCAGAGGCAGCAGTGCATCATCCCGTCCTTCAAGGGCACCTTCTCCCAGGAGGAGAGTCCTGGATTTTAGCACCATTAATACTCCAAGTAACTTGCAGGATTTCAGCTGCAGTTTGTGGTGCTTTGCTTGTCTCCAGTTACGTGACAAGAGCACAACTGCTTTATGCTCACAGAAATCTTCATCTGTAAACTTAGGATCACAATGCCTTGATTGGGATCAAATGGCTTGATTTTACAAAGTCACAACCTGCTGTCTGCCCAAGCAAAACCATTTTGGACAGGGCAAACATAGTATCTGACTCCTTGAATATTAAAGATTTGCAGGGACTAGTGGCTCCCTTCTGGAGCAAATAGAAACACAATGTCCTACTGCTCCCTCAGCATCCATCTCCCTTTTACTACCATTACTACTCTGGCTAGCAAATCAAGCTTTCAGCTGCATCTCATCCCCAGCAGCTTCCAGGGGCAAGGGGATGTCACAGCAGTGCTACTGCCCTGCCCCACACAGCCCATGGAGAGGTGCAGTTCTGCCAGAGCACCCAACATTAACCCTGCTCCCTTTGCTGCCAGTCACTCTCACCCTGCAGCTCCTGCCCATGGTGCTGCTGCTCCAGCTCCCCTGGCTGGCTTTTGCTATGCTACATAAACTCTTCATTGCCTCAGCTGCAACACTAGATACAAGTCACTCTAGTGATAATCTCCAGCAGGAAAGAATTCGTGTCTGGGTAAGAGAATCGGTGACTTGTTGGTTACCTGATCTCTTGTCATGCCCCAGTTTGTTTACAGAGATGGCCCAGCAAGCCAAATACCTCACTCCAGACACCAGAGGCTTTTGAGTTGCAAAAAGGAATTAAGAAGGTGGGACAGAAAAAGAAAATACCCTGTGAACTTGTGCCAAGCCTTAGAGATCTGTTACTAACAGGTTAATTTTTAGACTTAACCTCTGAAGCATTAAAAGTACACAAGGAATAAAGACTCTTCTTCCTCCTTCTTAGAAGGACTATTTTAAATTCACTGTAGCCCAGTGCCCAAGTCTCAGCTGGTTCAAACTGTTACAGCTCTGTGGCCATCACTACAGCCAAATCCACCTCACAGCTGAGAAATCAGCCTTGGCTCACTGCCACTGCACATAATTATATGGGGACAAAGAAAAGCTCAGGTTAAGAAGCTGCACTAGTTTCTAGTCAATTATGTTGTTTAAACCTATTTTTCTATAAGTCAAGCCCTGAGGCCAGCAGAGTTGAAGATTCAGATTTCTTACAGCTCTTGATCAGGGAGCTTCCACAAGAGTTTTGGGACTGTGAAATGCAGTACTTTAAAGAACATATAATACAGATCAATAGAAATATCATAATTTATTCCATTTGTATAAAAAAAGTTATAATCATGTAACAAAACTATGTCTTCATAAGAAGAAATATATTATTTCACATCATAAATAAATCAGCAAACATACAACCCTTGGCAACTCAAAAAAGCACTCGCCTGGTGCTTTCATGTCAGTGCTTGGGAAACAAGAAGAGCTGACAAATATACACACACAGGATTATAGTACCAAAAAATATTGAGGTATTTGGTTTCTCTAGAACTGAAACTTTAGGTTTGTGAAGGCAAAAAAAAGCAAACAACAAACCAACAAACAACAATGCACTAATATAAAAATAAATAAATAGGACTGTCATATAAAAGGGGACAACATCAGTGTTGCTCAAAGTGTCCAGGAATGGGAATACTGGTGAGCATGCTACTATACACGGAGCAGGCCTAGGACAGACAGAAGACAAGGAGGAAGAGCTCAGGAAGAGCCACTGTCCTTTGATCTCTGTGTAGACATCCAGATATTTGCTTGAGAAGTCAGAAACACCCAGTTCTCTGGCATTGGGTGAGCTCCTCTCCATTTAGGACACTGTTCTGGGATGCAGGAATGACTCCCCACAAAACACAAGTGACTGGTGACACTGTCCCTGTAGTTATTGCACTTCTGAGACAGCAAGTCTGAATTCTGACCACGTTTTCAGCTGCTTTTCAGCAGCTTGGGGAAGTAGTGATGGGGCTCTGAAGGTAGCTTAAAGCACTGGATGGGGTGTGAACAGGGATGGAGACCGGGAAGTTAAAGACTGTGGTGGTGGATGCTCCTCTGTCCAATACTGCCATAGCGGGGCTCCCGGCCTCTGCTGAGCAGTTGGGGGCAAGGACCTGCGACTCAAACTGAAGAAGCTGCCCCATGAAGCTGAAATTTGGGGAGATGATGCTTCTCCTCTGCTTTACAAACTCAAAGGCTTCATCCAGTTTGACTCTGTTGGTCCTCATGAGATAAGCAAGGCAGATGGTTGCTGACCGGGAGATGCCAGCCTGGCAGTGCACAAATACCCTTCCTCCATCGTTTTTAACAGAGTCTGAAAGAATTAAAGCACACAGTTAGCAAACAAGTCCCACTGCTTCCAGAGGTGGGAAAAGCACAGGCTGCTGTTTTACATTTCTTTAATCCATCCCTTCCTAATAGGTGCACCCAGAGCTTTTGAGACAAAGGGAGTCTTTGTCTTGAGGAACACGGCTATTTTCATTCTGGGCTCCAGTTCCAATTATACTAATAGCTCCTCCAGGTCACTTTAGCAGTCTTGCAAGATTACTTTAATACTGATCTGCTTAAATTCACTAACTCTTTTCTGCAAGACCAGTGCCTCTTGATTCAAGATTTCAAACAGCTTTATGAAGCTAAGATTATGCCTCTGAGTAAAATAAAATTAAGGGAAATGTTCCCCGAGTATATCTCTCCAATGGGATGAAATTCCCCAATCTCAAATATAGGTTTTACTGGGGGAAAACAATGCCCAAAAGTCACTTGCCAGGATACAGTAACCCAAAAAAAGAACAGACTGTAAAGAGGGCTCATTTACCTATGAAATCAATCGCCTCGTTAAACCAGGAGCTGATATCCGCCTTGTGGTTGTCCTCTACAGGGATACTTTTATACTGGTAGTGCCCTTCGAAGTGGTTGGGGCAGTTGGCCGAGACATTGATTAACGCCGTGATCCCCAAAGCGTCCAGCATGTCTTTTCGGGAGGCGTGGTACGCGCTGCCCAAGTACAGGAACGGCAGGATTTCCACCGGCCCGCCCTGAAACAGAGAGGACAGACCACCGGTTACCCCCTGCCCGGTGTCCCGCGGCATCCCCCGCTCCCTC